AGGTATCCCTGTGAGTGATATCTAAACGTGAGAGGGGGGGGGTAAAACTGGATTCAAAAACGGCAAATCTTCTAAATGTTACTGTTCCAACCGTTTTATAGCCCTAAGTAATGATATCACGCACCTTCTCCCGGTTTCCACCCTGAACGCAGCATTGACGATATTCCATCCAACCCCGTGGCAAACACGCAGCATTATGACTCAAGTAGGGGGGTTACCGATGATCCCGTTTTTATGACCGCGGGGAATCGTTACCCTGAGGTAACGATGTTTCCGTGAGGCTTGAACAAAAGTTTTCGGGATAAAACGTTCACAAGTTAGAATGGATATAAAGCTCATTATTTTTGCGCATAAAAACGTATTTTCCCCTTTTTGTTTGGCGCCAAAAATATTGTGTGAGGTTTTCCCCAGAGTTTATTTCTGAGAATCAACAGCTGAAATATCCGTCTCCCTGTTTCGTTTTTTAGTGTGAGAATTTATTACAGAATACAATCGTGAACTACTTAAAAAAAATGTATAGGCAGCACAGAAGCCTACAGGTTTCGACTAGCTGAAATGCTTTGATGAGGGCTGCTGTTGCCTTTTGCCTCTTGCACCTCGGCATCAGCTCAGCCTTCAGGGTGAAAGAGCGATCCTCCTGCTCCTGAAAAAAAAGTTTGGCCGCGTGCCAAACTGCGGAACAAGTGCGCCTCCCCTCCCTGCTGTTTAGCGTATTCATAGTTAGGGGTTTGGGCTGTTTTTTAAAAGGCAAGGCTGCTCTCAAGTTGATCAGTCTGCTCAAGAAACTTGTAGTGGAGAAAGTACCGGAGTCCAAACAGACGGGGGAAGAGATTTTGTGCGCAGAATTGCTTTGCTCCAGCAGAGGACAACATTTCGGGGGGGGGGACATAGCGCACGTACTTTTAATTGGTCCTTTAAAGTCCTTCTGCAGCATTCACAGAAAAAACCTTACCATTAATGTTTTTTATAGATAGCAACACTCTTGGATAAAGACTCTTGGCTTTAACTGTAAAAATCGGATTATCTGACTGAGGCATTGTGTTCATTAGACCAAGCTACTTTTCCCCTCCTCTTCGCATTGAGGTTAAGTTATAGCTGAAGAGAACGCCAACAATGTTTCTGAGTTTTTGCCTCCTGGTGACATTTATCTTGGGGCTGTCCGGGTGCTTGGGCTCATACGTTCCGTGCGAGCCTTGTGACCAGAAGGCGCTGTCCATGTGTCCTCCGGTGCCGGTCGGCTGCCAGCTGGTCAAGGAGCCGGGCTGCGGCTGCTGCCTAACGTGCGCACTGTCTGAGGGACAGGCGTGCGGCGTTTACACCGGGACGTGCGCCCAGGGCCTCCGCTGCCTGCCGAGGAGCGGGGAGGAGAAACCCCTGCACGCCCTTCTCCACGGCAGGGGACTGTGCACCAACGAGAAAGGATACAAACCTGCCCACCCGCCCATAGGTAAGACGCTCACTGCTGGGTGACTGAATGCATGCTTGAGAGCGAACGTGGGTTTAAAATGTGTGAGAAATGTAACTTCTCGTCTGCATCGGGACCCCCTGGGTGTTCTCTCCTCTGTTTATCAGTGTTTGTTGACATCTTGTCCCACGCCGGGATCCAGCGTGTGTTACTCTGAGAAGGGCTCCTGCAGCCTGAGGGACCAACCAAAAGGCAGCACAGTAGCCTGCTCTGTTTTATTAAATGCAAAAATCTCCCTCTTAAATGAAATTCAACCCCTTTTCCCAAGTTCTTCCCTCCTCACTTAGACCACCCGAAATAGTTCTCTTCCATGCAAAAGAAGCGCAGAGCCCTGGAGCGCGAGCAGCCGGTACCGGCGCGTTTGTTTGACATATGGTTTGAGGTGGCATCTGATTAACTTATATCCACCGCTTTGAATCAACTGACTGTAGGAGCTCATTCCGCCTCTCTGCGCAGATCACACATGCTCCTTCTGGTGTCAGGCTGAGCATCTAGCTGTAACACAGAAGTTTTAAAGGGCTGAATCTCCACAGTAATAACACGGCGTGAACAAACACTCCGCTCTTGTCGCCCGGTGCCGGTTAATCTGCTGTGGGATCGACTCTTAGCTGTGGTGAACGCACATGGCGTGTCCCGGCTGAGCTGCGCCTGCAGTGCGGGGCAGTGGCTGTCAGACTGCGGTTTAGCGAAACCCGAAAGTGGTTGACAATGATCCAGACAGTCCCCGCTTTAAAATATTTACAGGTTTACAGTCTTTTTGAAACAGCTTTTACGCGTCTCTTGGCGCACGCACGAAAGGTGGCCGTGGACTGAATGTTGGTTTATTCTATGTAAGTAATATTCAGATGAAAATAGGGTTCATGCTTCAGCCTCCTATAACATCCAGCTCTAACAAGTGTCTGTCAAAGCCCTCGATTTTCCATCCACACGCCAGAGCTGTTCTCTGTTTTGCGCCTTTCCCGTCCAACTGCTTAAACTGTGAAATCGATCGAAGGCGTCTACTGTATGAGACAAAATGAGCTGCCACTCTATAAACTTTGGATCTGTTTAAAGAAGAATTTAGGCAGATTTGGGGCTGCAGGCTACCCCTATGGGTGGTGTTTCGAGTCGGATTACCACTAAATCTGTGTGCGTGAGAGAAAAGAGAGAAAGACCGATATAGACAGACAGAAAGAGAGAGAGAGGGAGGGAGAAGGAGAGCTGGGCCAACTGTCTTGAATGATTTAAGATATTTCTGAGGGAAGCAGACAGGTCCACCTTCACTCAGAGTTTTAGCAGCTTGTCAACAACTAGATAAGTAGGTGGAAACCACAAAGGTTTTGGCTACAAGCCTCACTCTGTAAAATAGGCTTCGACTGGGCTCATTTATACTATTGATGGAGTCATGAGGTTATGTCCACCCTGTGAGCAACCCCTCATCTCTCTTCTATGGGTCCATCTATGACTACCGTTTCAAAACACTCAGGCAATCACAGGTTTGGTAAAGCTTCAGTCAGTATGTGAAATGATGTAGTCGTTTGTGTTTGTTTTCCAAGTTTGTGTGTATTTGCTGCCACATATACTTGGGTGGGGCTGTGTGGGTCTCTGGGTGTGTATTGCATGTGATGACACCTCAGGCAGTTTTGTCTCACTTTGGTTTGCGCCGACGCACGCACACACACACACCAGCAGAACCTGGCTTCTGTGTTGGTCCACGGAGGTAACCGGAGCATCTTTTCCTGCCCCGGGCGGTGCATTCATTGCAGGGCTCTCAGTCACAGCGCAATGATTCAGCAGAATGCCTCCGGCACGCTCTTTCCTCTGAAGGGCCTTCTGTCAAACAGCTCTGCGGACGGGAGCTCACGAGGTGAGCTTCTGGTTTCCTGTCGTGTGGGGTTGCAGCTGTCTGCGCGCTGTACCAGCTGAGCAAGGCAAACACAGAGACACAGAGAGGAGGAGCTCAAGTGTCCACCGCACTCGTGAGGCCACGAGAGCTGCGGCCCACTAAATACTGACTGGGACAGTCAAACAATGGCGGGGAGGAATCTTTGCTATCCTCTAGTCCCCCACTCCCCCCTCCCTTTTAAAGAACAAGAATCCTGGCCATCACTCTGCGTCTGGGTTCATGTCCCAGCAGTGCATTAATTCATGTTTTGCTCTTGCACTGTGATCCCAGGAGTGGCTTGGATTGTAAGGCACAGGAGGTGGTATGTGCTCCCGGGGCACTTAGACTTTGTTAGCCCCCTGTGAGTGAATCAGACCCCAGAAAGCTTGCCAACAGATATGACTTCATGGCAGCAGGCCTCCCGTCCTTCAAGCTTCTGAAAAGGCCTTATGTTTTAACAGATTGCTCTTTGCCAAGAAACAAAAGATGATTAGGGAGTGGTTCCAAAACCAGAATACTCTTCTCACACATGGACAGAAATACTATGCTCCTTATTAGCCTAGCAACAGAAAACCTGCTGCCTTTACTGACAACTTTAATACTTTTACATTTGCCCAGGTCCTTAATGTGTGTGTAGATGCAGTTTTCAGCCGCTGCCAGACAGTTTCAGCCTCGGTGACACTTGTTGTCGCATAATTTTAGAATGCTATTCAATTCATGAGCATTACCATCTGCTTTTTCCACGTTCACATTGTCTCTGGCACGGCGGGTTATTCGGCTGTAGCTGAGAAAATGATGCAAACGCTGACTCTCTCCCACTGTAGACTAATGACAACCAGCCACGTACTCTGTCTAATGTGTACGTTACATAAAGGCATGCCACGTTAGATAAATCTCCGGTCACGAGTGACTCCAGCTGCCTCACAGCTTCACGACAGGCAAAGGAAAGACTGTATGCGGCTCTCCATCCATCTCACCTTGAACATCTGAGACAGTGCAGTGAAAGCTTACCATGCTGCAGCTCGTGTGCTGCAGGTGCTAGGCAGAGTTATTGGAAAGATCATTTTCCAAAGATATCACATGACCACTTGAAAAGCTCGCAATTCGTGGCAAACGATAGCGAAGTGATTTCTCGGATGAGACACTGATACTACTCGGGTTTTTTTTTTTCCAGGTACAGAATGAGAGTCAACACCACTGGAGTTGTTGCTGGCAAGCAAATACCCTCTTTGGCATGCTTGCTTGAATTCTCCCAATGAAATTTACAGTGGTATTTGTACAGCTTACCGGTCACTGACACCTAATCTGCCGGTGGCAACGGTTGTGAAAGAAATCAACTCTCAATGTAGTGCAGGATTTTATGATGATGTCACATGTGTTTAGGCCTGATCTGGATATTGTAATCTCACTCCACTCCAACCTGGTTACATTCTAGACCAAAAATCATATGATTGTCCTTATAGAGGACTATTTAAAGTGAGCAGTACAACAAACTTCTAAAAAGTTTGGCTCCATTTTCATAAACGGCCATGTAGTGATTCCTTAAACTGTACGAAGACTGATTCTCAGTTTTGATTTGAAGAAGCAGCTAGCTTCTCATCCACTGTGGACTTCTTTTCCTCCCCTCGTTCTCCCTATACAGTACATCCACTCTACAGCGCTTGATGCTCGCCAAAATAGCTTCTTCTGCCACTGGGGAGTCAGAACGTCGTCACACCCAGCAATTGTGTTGTGGTAATGGTGACCCAAAAAGAGGTTGCGTCTGTCCATGTGGCTTGTTGAAAACCAAATTCAGATATGGGATGAGACCTCAGACCAAAATTAGCAATGTAGAGTAGAGCAGCCATGCGCCTTACTCTAATAATTTACTTTTCGAATGCTCTGCAACATAAAACTGAACGTTTAGCGTCACGGAAGCTGTAAACAGGTCAGGAAGTTTGCTTACCTATAGCAGCATTTCCTTCTTTGAAAGCTTTTGCATCCTCTCGTAGGCCCTGTTTTGCAATTTATAATCCTTGAATTGTTCTTGCTGCTATTTATACCATGCATTCAGAAAAGCAGGAAACTTTTTGATTGCAATGAACATATTCTGCGTGCACAATACCATGGGAAGTGTTATTTCCTGCATATTCAGAAGCTGATTGAGAGCGTGCACAAGGCCGAACAACAGAAATCCCAGTGAAACAACAGGACATGCAGGTCAAAACATAATTCACTTGCACTTGTGGTTAAAAAATAAAAAAAAACCTGGACAGAATATTTGATAAAGTCCAGATTTTCTCACTGTTCCAGCTGGTTTGGAAGTGAGCCTTTTTCAGTCATCGGTCTCTTAATCCTTCTCAAGAAACCACTGCGCATCTGTCATGTAATGTGCAGAGGATGTATCTTGTTGGCCTGTTTGGATCAAAATCTCTTAATGAAAACCCAAATGGCTGTTCGTGCCAATTCATTACTTTTTGCCACTGAAACAAACTCTTCATTTTATCTGAAAACTCTTTTGCCACAAAAGAGCTCTGCAACTGGCAACGTTGCCATAATTTGGACCCATTTCCTTTTCTCATCAGATAACTTTTATGCTGCTGCAGACACTCCTTAGCGACTCCCACAATCCCTCTTGGCTTGTTCACACCTCCTTTTCTGCTCTAGAAACTGCGGGGTTATTGGGCCGTGCCCTTGCTTTCAAATATTAAGTAGCAGAGCAGTGTGACACAGAGGGATGGCTTACTGCCGTTGTGCTTTATATAACAGATGCCCTTAGGCTCATTTATCCCCACAATTATCTTGTCCTACCCCCAGATGAGATTAAACAGCACCTCTATTCACCGCTCTCTTACATCTTGTAAAGATGTAATTTCAGATGCAGGGCACAGACTGACGTTATCAAAGGCGAGACGTAACAAACGTGGTGTAATGTTGGGAAATCCAATGGAAGGTGGGAGAATCCATTGTCCTGTTTTGTTTTTTTCTCTAAACGATGTTGTTACAGTCTTAAAGACCCAGTGGAGAGAAAAATCAAAAGAAGGGGCAGCTTATCTTTCATTCTTGGACTTGTGCCCATAAGAAACTTGGGATATTCATGAAGCATAATTGTGTGCAGATGTTAATTTTTAAACAGAGGAGTATCAGGTGCACCTCCTTTGGCTACTCCACTCCTCTTGCCCTAATGAAATCTTTAGCTCGAGCAGAGGGAGAAGCGATAGCAGCGCGGCTTTGGGCTCGGCTGAATGGAAGAGATGCACATGACTTTGCTCACTTGGCCCCCGTCCAGCATCTTGGCCGAGTTTCAGGAGTTAAACACAGACCCTCTAAGACTCCTTTACAAGCTGGGTACCCTTAGCATGGAAAAACTGAGTTTTTGTGGCAGAGTCCAAGAGGCCACATCAGAAAAGATGAATTTTTGTGATTTTTTATTTTTTCCAGCGCAAGCATGGAAGTCAGGCACCATTGTCTTTTCGAAAGCTGCACGAATTTTTTTGAAAACCTTCATCTGTCCCGCATTGTTAACTGTATTCTCTCCAGACAGGCATGTTCTCAAAGCGACCGACTTCGACCATTTATATGCCCCAATGAAATTACACATGAAACAAGAACGCACGTTTAAAAAAAAACACAGAGGGTTTATTTTCACCAGGATATTTTATTGCCAGATATGTGGCATTTTAATCAAGTGCCCTGAGAAAGTATTAGACTGTACAGCAGAAATAAAAAGGTTTTCCAAAGTGGTCACATGCACGGTGTACATGAGAATGCTTGTTTGACGTGTTTATTTATAGCACGCAATAGCCCCTTAGTCTGAGCGGGGAGACACAAGGACATATCTAAACACAACCTGAGGCCTGCCAAGTCATGAGTTGCGAGATTAATTTCAAAGAGACGGCAGTGCAGCGCAGAAGCCAAAGACCCAATTCTGGTAATCACCCTGCCTCCAGCCCCCACCTCCCCCTCCCCTCCCAAAGACTCCCAGACACTCATGCTGTGTCAGGCTCTTTGAACATCAGTTTCTCTGAGCTCGTATCCTTGTTACGTCTCAGCGCCTTTCTCCAGGCTGTCTCTCTACCAAGAGGCCAGTCAGAGTCATGCAACTTGTTAAGTCACATTTCTAACATATTCTTATATTCATAAGTAACATATTCATGTATGGAAGTTGATTTGTCTTCCAGCAGCAGTTGGCCATATAGTTTGCAGCCAACATTCCTCTTTGGTTCAGTGCGCCTGGCCTCGTGCACCACGGCGGGTTTCCTTGTCAGATAAATATAACCAGGGTCATCCACTGGCACCATGGCTTCAGCCATTTGGGGCCTGGCAAAGTCCCCACAATAACTCAGTACTTATGGTACAGTTAAGCCAAGAGGGGGGAAGTGGAGGGCTTGTTTCTGTGGCCTCAAAGAACCTCTGGCTGGGGGTCCAGGCTTAAGAGGCTGAGCCCCAAAGATAGGAATAGGGGGAGGGGAGGGTTTGGGTTAAGGATAAAGGACCTCAACCTGTAAATATCCTGTCAGAAGGGACTTTCAGATCTCTGAGACTACAGTGCCCCCTGGGGGAGCTGGAATTACATCTAAGGAGTGCATACAGTGTGACACAAATGTACAAGCATTTATATGATTCCGTGGTGCAACTGGATTTTCCTGAGCTTGACATTTGAATCAGTTTAATGTGGGACACGTCGCTATAAATTTACTACACACAGGGGCCTCAGGCCCGGTTGCAGTTTAGCCCAGATAACATGTTAGCAGTTTTTTCCATGCAACACGTGATCCAGGCTTCCCAATTAGTAGAGCTCTTTATGCTCATAAATATCATTGTGTCTGGATTCATGTGTGAAGACCGGCATGTCTCACTTTTAAACTTATGAGAGGATGTGTTGTTGGTAGACTGTTGAGCAAAAATGTTGTGCATATTTTTCTGCATATTTTGTGTCTTTTTCCCCTCACAGATAGCCCTGAGCTCAAACATGAATGCAGGATTTCAAACTTTTCCAGTTATAAATAGAGCAAAGGGCCTTTGATAAGTGGGGTTGGGTGAGAAAAGATGATTTAAAACTGAGCTCTTACCAGTAGGAGTTCATCAGCTGTTGGCCAGAGCTGCAGCCTTCTCTCCTCCCTACACAAATGTTAAACAACAGTTGGCACAAACTCTGGGGAAAAGCACCCACCTGTTATTGTTTGTATGTGGAAAGGACTGACAGGCAGGATTTATCATTTATGCAGATGACTATACAATAATGCAAAATAACATCCTAAACTTTGATTTTTTTTCTGTTTGTTAAACATTGCAAATACAAATCTCATATCACTGTTAATATTGTACATTAATATGTGATTAATGTAATTTGATAGGGCATTACCTCCACAGAAATGTTTAAAGTTCCAGTCAAAACAACTACCATGAAATGATGCGAGAAATGAGTACGAGATAAAAGTGAGAAGAAACTTTGTTTGACACTTAGTTGCTTCTCTTTCTCTTGCTCTCTGTGTATATAGCATATAAAAGCTAAATTAGGTATTTTAAAGATCCAAATATGAGTTTATTTTTATATTTAAAAATAGATTTATCTGATTCTTTAACTAAAAAAAATCCAGTAATAATAATGCTACCACTGGGCTCCCAACATTTTCTGACTTCTCTGAACTTTAACGTAAGAGACGAGCATGTTACGCTACGTCCAGATGAACAGAATCAGCTTTTTGGGATTTCCTTACCTGAATGATTGAGCATGCATCAAGGCACTTTAACTTAAGAGAATTCCAGTTACACTTGCTGGATGCGCATAAAAATGTAATTTAAAAAAAAAGTAACCTCTTTGTGTTGTTGCTGTTTTTTGTGGTGCAGATCGCGAGTCTCGAGAACACGAGGACACCAGAACCACACAGAGTACCGGCGGGGTTAGACCACCACCACTCTATCCCAAAGAGATTGTGAACAGCAAAAAAGTCCTTGCAGTGCGCAAGGAGCAGAAGAGGAAGCAAGGCAAGCAGCGCATCATTGGCTCAACCATTGATTACTCTCCTCTGCCCATTGACAAGCATGAGCCTGAATTTGTAAGTATTCCATGTGCAAAGTTTCATGTGGTTTTTTGCGGTGTGACATGAAATCAGGGCATATATTTCAACGATGTACTCTTTGAAATATATGTATATGTATATCTCAATATACAACTGGTAGTTGTTTGGTTAATATTCCCGTGCTGCATTTCTCTAAAGGGTCCATGCCGGAGAAAACTGGACGGGATCATTCAGGGAATGAAGGATACTTCTCGTGTAATGGCGCTGTCTTTGTACCTTCCCAACTGTGACAGAAAAGGATTCTTCAAACGCAAACAGGTCAGCCTTGATTCTTTAGCCTCACACCACCCTTTGAGCAAGCATTTGACCAACATTTAAAACTGCATAATTTCATAGTTATTGAACATAGTTATTTCAGTGGAATGACAGCAATCAGTGGACTTTCTTGCTAGCTGTTAGCTTTAGCCCTTTTAGAATTCACTCAAGCTACTAGCCTATATCCCCAGGAAATGCAAATAAACATTGTTATGATGATAGTGATAAGTTCAGGTTAGCAAGCTGCCTCCAAATACGGCATCATTCTACCACATGAACATCCTAAACCAAAGAAGTCAAATACAGTGACTCCAATTAGCAGTGCTGGAAGCTAGCAGAGAGCTAACTATCATTCACCAATAACTCAAGGCAGCCCCAGCTCTAAAAATGCAGTTTATCCTTGCTAAAATATAATTCTCCCCCATAATTCAGAGTTACTAAGAAAAATCCCCACTTTGTGGTTATCTCATAGTCGGAAAATAGCTCATTTAAATGTAGGCCTTTTAACATGGGACCTTGCTGGATTAACTCACTGTTTTCTTCTCCACAGTGCAAGCCATCTCGTGGCCGCAAACGAGGCATCTGCTGGTGTGTTGACAAGTACGGTGTTCAGCTCCCCGGCACAGACTACAGCGGAGGTGATATTCAGTGTAAAGACCTGGAGAGCAGCAGCAATAACAATGAGTGAAACTGGGAGGGCCATTTTGACCTCCCCCATCCCCCAACCCTTAACCACCACGTGACCCAGGGCCCACGCCTCCTCTCTGAATCACACCTGTATGCTCCGCCCTACGTTCACTTCAAGATTTGTTTTTTCAACTTAAAAAAAGAAGAAAAAAAAATCCAATCGTAAAACAACAGGCTGAAAAAAGACACCTGTATTTTTTTCCCTTTCTTTTCAGTTGACCAAGCACTCTTCTCTAAATGAGGGTGAAAGTCCCAGAAGATTTACTAGATCCTTTGACTATTATGATCCCGGGACCGCCCTTCTATGAGCCTGCTCCCTTGGCTGCAGATCCATGAAAATATATGCAACTAATGGATATATTTTTATAGAAGCTGTGGGTTTGTGTGAGGTGAAATTAAAACAATTTTAAAGAAGAAAAAGAGAGAAACAGCATCAGGCTTATTGATTGAAAACAGATCAGTTTCAGGCCATGGAACATGATGCCACTGTGGAGCTGACGATTGGCCAGAGTAATTTGTTTTTATCTGTTCTCCAAAAGAAAAAAACAAAGAAGAGATAGGGATATGCTGTAACAGTTGACTCTATCTGGGTTCTGTCAGAGCACTTATGAATAGGGGAACCTGCTTGGATATGTGTAAAAAAAAAAAATCACAAAATGATGCGTGCATGGACGCGTGCATGTGTACAGTTTGAATGTGTGGTATGTATGTTGGTATATGACGGAGTGAGCCTATTACAAAAAAGAATGTCCTTTTTTTTTTCCTTTTTCTTTTTGTTTTTTTCTGATTTTGTCACAAGTATTGCTAGAGCTTGAAGTGGTATCGGGACTGGCCTTCTCTTAATGTAAAAGCGTATCTTGGAAAAACAAAAAAAAACCCCAAAAAAAGCAAGTAGACCATCACAGATGAATCTATGTATGTGGCTCTTTGACAATGTAGCTAGCCTGATATGCCAACTGTGCCTATTTGAACAGACATTGCCATGCAGGGCGACACAGAGCTTAGAGAGCACCGCTGGCTCTACTGGTGAACTAAACGTTTTCAGCTTAAGTCTGACTCAAGTCTGACTCAGATCATGAGTGCATGCAATCCAGCTTCCCAGTCGGGCCGGCCGCTTCTCTGATCCATTTGTGTGAAGTGTAGTTTTGTATGGTTTTGTTTGTGCTGTTTTCTTTGCCTTCAGTGAAGTAAAGACCACCCACTTTTGAGCCATGTTTCTTTATCAAGTGGTTCCCCCTCAGTACTGCTACTACAGTGTAACCATGGCGTATTACATTACTTTTAAATATAGTTACTGAATGTTTGTTTTTCCTGTAGAAACAAAGTATGAGAACAACGTAATTGTGCTTGGGGGGAAAAATAGCCTGTAAAGGATTCTTGTAGGTCAACTACAGGGAAGTCAAAAAAGCTAACAATCTGAAATCCTTCTGCTTACATGCCTCCACACGGAGGTTATCTACCTTTATCTAAGTGGGGCATGATCCAAACAAAAAGGTTACAGGTTATAACAGGGTCTTTAATAGAGTCGCTCTCTCTGTGTGCAAGTCACAGTGCCTTCCTATATGCAAAGACATTTAAATACTGACGTGAAAGTGACATGGATATCATGCGGGGCAATTTTCAGATACTTGATACGACAATAGAGGTTCTGATTAAGAGAAGAACAGTGAATGTGGTAGGTCCTTTGAAATGGTGTCGATAATATGTTGCAAATCCATTTGTAATCTCCGCCTGGGGGTAGTTCTGGACAAAAATGATGTGTGAGGAACTGCAGTCCGTTAAACCTCCTTCTTCTCTTTGACAACCAATAAGCTAAGATTCATGCTTCTTCATGTGAATGCCAATGTATATGATTGCCAGAGAGGGGAAGCCAAAGGATGTTTGGAGGTAAATCGTGTTTTAGGGCTTTTTTTAATGCTTCTGCAGATGTGTGCATCCTAAATGGCTTCCAGTTGGGAATACATTGTCAAGGCTCCTTGCCCCACTTCCAACACCAAATCCCCCGCTACCACTTTCGAAAATAAGCAGCTTGCACTTATTTCAGTTACTCACTATTGATATTGACACGCGGCAACATCCTGAGATGTGGTATCATGAAGTTAGTTTAACAGCAAGAACAACAAAAAGTAAAAAAAAGCTAAATGTTGTGTTATCTTGTGCTTACCTTTCAGAGGTGGTGCTTTGAGGTAATATTTGTTGACAGGGGCTGTGAAGCCCATGCCTGGGACCTCCAATACAGCAGCATCTTTTAGGGAAAAGTAGATTGAAAGTAACACAGCTAGAGATGTTTTCATGGCCTATTGCACAGAGATGACAGCTGAGATAGAGACAGAGGAGACAGGGGAAGAGGGAGAGCGAGCGCCATGGGCAGTGGTCATGATCAGGGCCTAGCCACTTCCCCGATGTGGGGTCACCAATTGCATGACGTTAGATACAGTTAGCAGGACAATAACTGGGAGTCGTTGAAATCCGAGGAATGAAATACTGCAATCAGTTTAAATATCTGAAATTGGAACCTGGCAAATATCAGCGTTCCAGTTATCTCTTTCATTTCAATTGCAGGTTGGAATTCAAGATTCCTGTTTGCGAGTAGCAGCTTCCTCAGGTTTCATATCTCCTACTTGGTTTGAATTTCTATTCACATACTTCAGTAGTACAGTAACTACAGTACAGCTTTTATTTCTGAATACATAACACTTTTTGGATGTAATGCGACGATACAATTGGTTTTCGTAATTTGGTGTTCACTGGCTTGTGAAATCGACCCATCGGTGGCAGGAGGATAGCAGGAAATAAAATGGTCAGTATTTGGAGCTACATAAGACAAATAAGAAAAAAAAAGACAAAAAAGCTCAAATTATTAAAGTGAATATCACTGTGTAATATTTATTCAACTTGTAATTTATGTACTCTTTTAACCTTTGTCTGTTTTTGTTATGACAAAGCATTTATTTAAATAAAGTTATGTATTCATTTAAGCATTCTGCGTGAGGCTTTTATTTCTAGCACTGCATTTTTAAGGGGAGTAAGTAGCTGCTAAACTGGCTTGAAACATACAGTTTGAGCATTTTGGGAATCGTCCTGATTGTAAGCACTAACTAATCTCTGAGGCACGAACTGTTAAACCTCTTAGACATAAGTCTGAGACGCCCAGGCTACACTACAGGATCTCATCCAGCATGCAGGATGTGACTTTATAAAGCCTCGCCTGAAGGCAAGTCGCCTGGTTTTCAACACCATAGTCAAAAAGATTGCACCGGAAGAAGGAAGTCATTTAACATGAGTTTGAACTTGGGGGGGGATAACATCTAGAGGGGCCGGCTCACTATTCAAATGACTGGGAAGAAGAGATCTGTAGCCTGAAGGAGACTTAATCATGTTATGGAAAACCTGCTTTTATCAGCACTTAAAGGAAGAATGCGCTCCCTGTGACACACCTCTTTACACAGGCATATATATCCAGTTGCGTGCATATGGAAGAAACAATATGGTAATCTTTGAAAGTATTTTCTGTGGATACTAAATGTGAAGCAGTTTCACCATCCAGGTGTTTGTCACAACCATCTTTTGAAAAACATGATATAAATGCACTCAAAGAGCACAGATATACCAGTTTTTGATTAGCTGTTGGCTTTCAGTTAAACATTAAAGGGCTCTAAGGACATGTGCATGCATCTCTGAAGATGGGTGTCTGGTCATTTTTATTCTCTTGTGGCTTTAAGGAAGTGACAGAATAGGACTTTTCTTTTTTTAGGGGGCCACCAAAATCTTTCCCTGGGGACCTCAAGACTTTGACTGACTCCAGATGTGGGTGACTGAAGCAGGGCATGAAAGGGTAGAAGGATCCAGGAGTTCCTGTGTAGCTAGCAGATCAAGGCTGCTGTAAAGGTTGTTGTGGTATGTTTCCATGAGTCTGTGTGTGTGTGTGTGTGTGTGTGCGCATGTGGACCAGGGGCAGTGCATGCTTTGACTTCAGGGCGGAGGAAACATGTGTAGAAGATTTGATTTGTGAGGTAGTGTACATGACAATTACTATTGCCTTCAAAGAAACTGACAACTGCACTTAGGACTTCAAAGCATTTATGCCCCTTTTATTAGATGATTAGGCCAACAACGTTGGACGTCTACATCTAACATCAACTCACGCACCTCACTGCATCCCAAATCCAGTCAAACTGCTGTGCTGTGCACTTTTCTGCCCATGCAAGACCTAAGGTGGGATACTTTTCTGTACTGTATTTCAATTATACAATTAAACGAATGATCAGAGCTGAAAAATCCCAAGCAAAAAGCTTTGGAGATGCTTTTAGTTGCTTGTGCATTGCGTTGCCTGTGGCTCACTTCATTAAATGCGACTTTTAGACAGGATGATGGGACATTTAAAGACATAAGCTTACAAATGGCATGCAGATGTTTACACTACGTATTTAGGATCTCTTCAAATCACTGCTTGTGCTCTTGTATAATACTATCTCTTTCAGAGGTAATAGTGGTTCTTGTCATCACTGAGATGGAGATGAAAGGAGATTTGAAAGAAAGTACGGCAGTTGGGAGTAAATCACATGACTTAGTGATAGAATCCGCCAGTGCTGGTGGTAGAAGACGGCAGACAAGTGTCTGCTAGTTTTCTAGTTTTCATCCAAGCCCTTTCATCCCAAATGGACTAAGACCTAGAATCCCAAATGGTGGGTTGTTCATCGTGGATCGGATGTGACAGCGAGACCCACAAATGTGTGTTAAGTAAACCATATTTAGAGATTAAGATTTGACGTCCTTCAAGCCAAGAAAGGAGAACCTTACGGTGCAGTCTAGTAGATGTTCTCAATATTATGGGAGATTCCGGCAATATAAAAATGTAATCTGCATCATTCTAAGAATTGAATGAAGTTTTATATTTTAAACAATTGTTTTTAAAAGGAATCAGAGCGAATCTGTGAAATTTCATCAACAAAAGTTTTAAATGAGACAACGAATGAGATTGGGGGCTCTATGGTCTAGGTGTTTTTGATTTTCTCTGACAGCAGTTACTTTCAATCACCACAATAAACTGTTTCTTACACAAACATACAGTCTCTAGTTTAACTTAACAAGCCAATTAATTTTTACCTGGAACTTGGTACCATCAAGAAAGGGCACTTTATCACAAATCCTTAACTGATCAATCAACACGCATTACCAGAATCCATTTATGAGCGAAATCAGCTTGTTTTATTTGAGTTTGGGTATTTATCTGATTACATTAAAACACTTTTTTGCCCGGAAGAAAGTGTATAGAATTATTTTGGCTGTTTAGCAGCATTAATGCCAACTTACAGTACATAATGTTATAAGCACTGGTCTCTTACAGCTGAGGGTGGTAGAATGGGGTTACTATGAAGTTCAAGTCGTTTCTATTATATTTTTCAGTTTATAGTACCAAGTCACAAAAAGAGTTGTCTAGAGGTGATTTATATCATAAAGCAAAAAATCCTACAATGTTATAGAGAGAATAAGTGCTTGGTGTTGGTGGGGAAAACAAACTCCCTTTATACAGGAAAAGACTTCCATCAGAACCAGACCTCATGGATGGGCAGAAATCTTCTACGACTGGTTAGTGAGGGAGAGGAAACAGAAGACAGAAAGAGGAGCATGGAGAAACAATGGACAATAACCAGGACAAAACACAGAATGCAAAAGGCAAAACTTACCTATTTGTCTCTTGAAGACTGCACGGTTCACTGTAACGGTAGTATAGTAGTGGGGGTGGGGTTTTGGCTCAGCTGCAGGGGAGGGGTGGAGCAGAGGGTTCAGGGGCAGCACTAGGAGAGGCTGGCTGGTACATCTGTCAGCCATCATCTGATCATGATTCTCCTATTTTACACAGTAACATGCAGGGACTGCAGTGTGTGCATGTGGAG